ATATATATATATATATATATATATATATATATATATATATATATATACACACACACACACACACACACACACACAGAAAAATGTATCAAAGCAACACTTTTGCTTTTACTCCCATTTTTCATGAGCTGAACTCAAAGATCTAAGACTTTTTCTGCGTACACAAAAGGCCTTTTCCTTCAAATATTGTTCACAAATGTAAATCTGTGTTAGTGAGCACTTCTCCTTTGCTGAGATGATCCACCCACCTCACAGGTGTGGCATATGAAGATGCTAATTAGACAGCAGGACTATTGTACAGGTGTGCCTTAGGCTGGCCACAACAAAAGGCCACTCTATAATGCAAAGTTTATCTTAATTATTGGGGGGGGGGGGGATGTCAGTATGGCACAGTGGTTAAGTCACCTGACTTTGTGGCAGAAATATTCAGTTCAGGATTCAAATTCTGGTGCCAACCTCCAACCTCAGTCACATTATGAAGGAGAGACAACACATTGAGTCCTTGCAGGCTCAGACTTCCTCTGAATCAGTAAAGTCTGTGTTAGCTGTTGAAGAACCAGAACATTCTGATGAGAAATGGACTGCTGGAGCAAGACGTGCGTGGACAAGGGCAGAGAACCTAACACTTTGGAACGCTACTGTGCGAGCAAGCTTAGAAAGAGGGGTTAGATGGGAAGGTTGTAGGATCTATGGAAACTTGGATACCCATCATCCAGATTGAACCAGAAACAACTTTGGAGTCAGTGTTCCAACATTTGAGCGAGGACTCTGCTACCACACCTGCAGACTGACAACGATGCTCTGATAAGTGGCATCTAGGATGACAGGTCAAGGGGGATGTCCCATCATTCCCACTATCAGCGTATAGGTACCAATACAGGATGAAACAGATCCTGGAGTACATCAGGAGGAAAGCCCTCCATGATGAACTGATGAGTTCAGGCAGCAGCAGAAAACCAGTGTGGACAAGGAGGAGCAAGAGGAACCATCATGGAAAGATAAGCACCTGCACGGCATGTACCACTGGAAAATTGAGGAAGTGGCTGATATCAACAAATCCTACCAGTAGCTGTAGAGGGCCGGACTGAAGGACGGCACAGAGGCTCTGATCATGGCAGCACCAGAACAGAACCTCAGCTCAAAAGCAGTAGAGACTGGGGTCTACCAGGCCAAACCCAAGGTGCAGACTGTGCAGTGACGCCCCGACACAGTCCAGCACATGATACATACTGTGAGACTTTCAGATCCAGAGCGATAAACAGGTGTGTGTGGTCCTACAGGACATCCAACACGTTATCAAATATTTAACTAATTATATGCAGGCCTTTTATATCAGCATACAAAAGAGAGGGTAGGTCACGTTTAAGGACAAACAACAATTAATAATTTATGAGATTTTGTGTGGGAGTTTGAAGTTTGTGGGTTCCTCAACTCTTCTCTACCTCATTTACACTGAGATAACTTTAAAACTTAACAAAATTAATTGTACAAAACAAGTGGTAAACCGATAAACTAAACCAGAACAACATATCCTGATGCATGCTCAATAATCCAGGTAGAAAATCCAAAAAAGTTCAATCTGGTCCTCTGGACATTCAAAAAAACAAAAAACAAAGCAAAAAAATATAGAAACGTTTCCTCTTTCATCTGAGAGACTTCCTCAGTCTGAGGTGCTGTATTCAGCTCAGTCCCTTAAATAGCACCTTCTCAGAGTGGATCAACCAGTTTGCTGCTAACAACCAAAACCAGCTGATCACGTGATCAAGAAGGACCATCAGTCTAACAATGGATCATTAGCACACTGATGGCTGTTTACTGTTCACAGAGGGCTGAGTGATACTAGCAATCACAGCATTGTAAGAGGGGGACAGTTGAACCCGGAGGAACCCTCCCTGTGAATAGTAAACAGCCATCAGTGTGCTAATGATCCATTGTTAGGCTGATGGTCCTTCTTGAGCATGTGATCAGCTGGTTTTGGTTGTTAGCAGCAAATTGGTTGATCCACTCTGAGAAGGTGCTATTTAAGAGACTGAGCTGAATACAGCTCCTCAGACTGAGGAAGTCTCTCGGATGAGAGACGAAACGTTTCTATATTTTTTTGCTTTGTTTTGTTTTTTGTTTTTTTGAATTTCCAGAGGACCAGATTGAACTTTTTTGGATAAACCAGAACAAGCTCTAATAAAACAAATGAGAACATCTATTTTACACTTTGGCACATTTGAGGGAAAACGTGTAAGTAGTTACGACACAGAGTTTAGAGTTAGTGGTGACGCTTGTGCAAACTGTGGTGATTTTAATATTTTTACAAAGATGTTTTCTAATGATGTGTTTCACATTAGCAGATAATCAGAAGCACATGTAAGATCCAGGCCAGCGCTATCACTAACTATGACCTCAGCGTTGAATAATGCTTGTTATCAATGTTGCAAATACTTTGTAACAAAGACTGGAGTTTCTAAACTTTGCAAACACTGTCCATCGAGGTGCTCACAGAAGAACCTTACTCAAATGGTGAGGGAAACTCAAAACACTTTGGTTTCATTTTTTTACCATGCATATTTTTAAATGTGCAAAACATAACAATGTGAACATAATGATGCCATTGTTCTAAATCAAACAATCAAAGAAAAAAAAAAAAAACAGACAAACCCTAAATTACAGACATTTGTTTTATTATCAAGTGAACTGAGAGAAAAAAAATAATATTTTTTGTGCTCTTCTTTTTTATAGATAGATTAAAAATTTGAAAGAAAAAAAACTATTCAAAGGTTAGGGCTTTTGTTTGTTTTGTTTTTGGTGGGGTAATTTGGGCAGTGAGTGTCTTACCTGTAGCAGACAGCAATCACTGATCTTAATTTGGAGAATCAAGCAGAAATTCTCATCACTCTCTGGCCCCTATTCCACCTTGGACTCAGGCTCCGGCCTGTCATGGCGGCAGTATCCATGATCCTCTATCTGCTTGCACGGACCGAACTCTATGAAACAATTCAGTTCCGCGGGGAACTTTGAATGTTCTGTGTCTGCTGGACCCGTTTCTGGAGAGCAGTTATCGTCCGCTGCCACTTTCATTATTGTCATCATGCTGCTAACAAGACCATGATGCTAACAGGACCATGCTGCTAACAAGACCATGCTGCTAACAAGACCTCACTGCTAACAGGACACATTGCTAACAGGACCACACTGCTAACAGGACCACATTGCTAACTGGACCACACTGCTAACAGGACCCCACTGCTAACAGGACCACATTGCTAACAGGACCACACTCCAAACAGGACCGCACTGCTAACAGGACCACATTGCTAACAGGACCACACTGCTAACAGGACCACATTGCTAACTGGACCACACTGCTAACAGGACCCCACTGCTAACAGGACCCCACTGCTAACAGGACCCCACTGCTAACAGGACCACACCGCAAACAGGACCAATTTCGATTCAATTCAGTTTATTTAGCGCCAAATCACAAAAAAGTTGTCTCTGTGCACTTTACAGGAACATTCACATAAAAGTCAATTAGTAAAGTTCTCTATCTAAGGAATCCAGCAGACAAGTTGAATCTTGGCTTCGTTGCAGTCTCCCATCCTGAGCAAGCACAGTGGCAACAGTGGAAAGAAAAAACTCCCTTTTTAAAAGGAAGAAACCTCCAGCAGAACCAGGCTCAGGACAAGCGGCCATCTGCTTTGACCGGCTGGTTGAGAGGACAGGAAGGAGAGACAGATGAACATAGAATGGTAGGTCCAGGTGTATTTGAAAGACAAAAAAAATAAAACACATGTTAAGGATAGAAAAATAATTACAAATACAAAACAGGTTGAGCAGAGTAAGTAAAGACAGTAGTAGAGTGAAAATTGTGGTCAGTTTGTCCTCTAACAGTCTAAGCCTATAGCAGCATAACTATGGGACAGCTCAGGAAACCCAAGCCGACCCTACCACAATGCTAACTGGACCACACTGCTAACAGAACCACACTGCTAACAGGACCATGCTGCTAACAGGACCACACTGCTAACAGGGCCACACTGCTAACAGGACCAAACTAATAACATGAC